TAGAGGTAAATCTCAATGGACAGCACTACCGCGACGAGATCATCGGCCCTGTTGTTCTACCGTTTTTGCGTCGTCATGGCCCAGGCATTACCTTTCAACATGACAACGCCCGGCCTCATGTTGCTCGACTTGTTCAGGATTCTCTTCAACAAAAACAACGTGAATGTCATCCCCTGGCCGGCTCGCTCCCCTGATCTATCAGCAATCGAGCACATGGGGGATGAGATGGATCGGCGCCTTCAACGTCAACCACGTGTTCCACAGACACTCCTGGAACTTCGAAACATGCTCCAGCAGATATGGACAGATATCCTATAGGACTTTGTGCGACGCCTGGTCCATTCCATGAGACGAAGATGAGTTGCTTGCATCGCAACCAGAGGTGGACACACACGCTATTGATTTGTAAATTGACATTTTGGCATGTTCATGTTTTTTTTTAATGAAATCACGCATTTTCCGAAGTCAGTATGACAAATTGAAACCATTTGAACACTTACAGGAGTCCTTTATCTGTTGCAAACCGAAATTGTTTCAGATTTGGTAAAAACATAACTTTGCATTAAATCTTATTCAATGTCACAGGAACTTTTGTTGTTCAGTATATAAAAATCATGGCTCATATGCCTATCTGGCTTGTAGGAATCCATAGCCAAGCTATCAGGCTATAGCAGGCTTTGAGGACTTCATAGCTGATCAGATATATATTCTCAAGAATCAGATTCATGCCTTTTTTATTACATTTCAACGATAGGCCTAATCTATGATATCAATACTAGTATTCAGAGACCTGATTTTATAAATACGTGATTTTAATCTCAATAAAATCCTTCCATCTTTAAGAACAAAACATAAATTTGACCATCTGTTGACTCTCAGAGCTGATGTCCAATGCTCTTCTGCCTCCTATGTTTCATTATGCACACTGGGATTACAGAGGGTCAACTGTGTGGGGTGGGGTGAGGGTGTGTCTAGCGGGCCTTATGCAGAAGAGGATTTGTCTGGCAATGAGTATTTTGTAATAAGTAGAGTGTAATAGTTCTTTTTATGTTGGTTCCATGTGATACCTCCAATGTTTAAGCCTTATGCAGAGGAAGATTTGTTTGGTGTGGCCCATTCTGTACTCTGTGCTATGAACCTGTTCATACAAACGTACCTTAATGTGGTACAATCGATATATATTCCAGACCAATTTTACCCGTGTATACCTGAAGGGTCAACTTTTTGTGGGTATCTGGCGGGTCTTATGCAGAAGATGATTTGTCTGGCAATGGGTATTGTGCAATAAGTAGAGTGCAATTGTTCATTTTATGTTGGTTTCATGTGGTACCTCCAATGTTTAACCCAGCCCAAATTTTGGGACCCTCTCTGGGGGGTCTGGCGGACCTTATGCAGAGGAAAATTTGTCAGGTATGGGCCGTGTTGTACTCAGTAACATGTACTTGTTCATCTAAACTTACTTTCATCTGGTACTTTGAATGTATACTCTAGTCAAATTTTACCAGAGTGTCCACTGAGTGCATTAAGGGTCAACATTTGGGGGTGTCTGGCGGGCCCTATGCAGCAGACGATTTGTCTGGCATTGGGTATTTTATACTTAGTAGAGTGTAATAGTTCATTTTATGTTGATTTGATGTGGTACCTCCATTGTTTAACCCAGCCCAAATTTTGGGACCCTCTCTGGGGGTGTCTGGCTGGCCTTATGCAGAGGAAGATTTGTCTGGCGTGGCCCATTCTGTACTCTGTGAGATGAACCAGTTCATTTACATTTACTTTCATGTGGTACCTCCAATGTTTGATTCAGCCCTTGAATGGCCCCTTCTTTTGGGGGGCCAGGGGCCACACGCAGCAGGGGCTCCCCGGCAGACATCCATATATGAATATGTTGGGTTACACAGTAAATGTTCCTGTGTTCGGATATTGGTACCTTGTTCGTTTGACCAAAGTGCTCTGGGCTGCTGCTCTACTAGCCATGGCTAGGGCGGCTTGTGTGTCAGAACTACACGCTATTGACATCTCCACTGTAACTCATACCCAAGAATGGAAATCAGTGTCGTTCAGATTGCTCCCAGAATTCATTGCCAAAAAACAGTCGTCAACCTTCGGCCCACTCGGCAACCGGCAATACACAATACCAGCTTAAAGTAAAAGTGTGGACTTCCCGGATAGTCTGCTTTGTCCCATAAGAGCCTTGAGATACTTCATTACAGCGACTCAACCCCACAGAAAGCAGAGGATGTGTGAAGATTTCAGAAGTACCTCATAAACTCAGGGTAAGTTGACTTTGTTACTGGGCAGCGCTATTGATTTAGTAAAACAGGGCAAAAGGCAACACTGAAATCAGAGATCGAGGGATTAAGTGATATACGGTAATCTACATGATAGGAAATATCGATGTACTACCACCGGAAGTGACGTCATAGGAGTCATCGCACCAGAATAACGTCAATATACGTTAAATATCACTATCCAAAAAGGGCATAACGGTAAACAATGTCATAGTGAAACGAGAAAATAGACCACAATGGGCATGGTGTGACACCGGAAGTGACGTCACAGATGACGTCATCACCGGAAGTGACGTCACAGATGACGTCATCAAAGGGAGTGACGTCATAATATGTCTAAGTATCACAAGGGAATATACATATACCCATCATATGACGTCTTTAAAATTCTATATGTCTAAGTCTTGTAAGTAGACTATTAGACACATCCGTTAAGATCCCTTTTGGCATATAATCCTTGGGTTTACCACTCCACTAGTCAAATATCTAAGGGATGCTAGATACAAGAACCCACCGGTCCCTCTGGTGTATACTGGCAACTGATGTGATAGAGGTGAGGTATTCACAAGAATTATCAAACAATAGTTATCATTGTGAATAATTCTAAGAATACCACCTCTATCACATCAGGAATTAGTCCCTCCCACCTCCCCAAATATCTGCATCTAGTTGATGAGAGTAATGGGTTGAAAGAAGTGACTAGATTGCCGCCTTGCGCATGCGCAGTGGCGCCCCTGGCAATGGATAGGGTTTCCCTCACAACTATGGATATGTTGGCAGTGTAGTGGACGTCTGTTGAAAATTTATAAAAAAAATTTAGTGTGGTTCTCAGCATAAACAGGAATTTATGGCAACTGATGTGATAGAGGTGGTATTCTTAGAATTATTCACAATGATAACTATTGTTTGATTTCTATTGTATTAGAAAGTATTAGAAGTTATATTATTATCCCCCGCCCAATGAAGTTGGCGGGGGAATATAGAAACGGGCTCCGTCCGTCTGTCACGTTTCGTTTTTGGAGCATAACTCATAAACCGTTCAATATTTTTTTCATGAAACTTTGCGAGGGCTGTCAGGTACATGCTGAACTAGTGCCTTTTGCTATTTAGAAATTTTTATTTTTTAAGTTTCCATGGCAACAAGATGGACTTAGGTTCTGTGAAGGCAGGGTTCGTTTCAGGAGCATAACTCATAAACCGTTTAATATTTTTTCATGAAACTTTGCAGGTCTGTCAGGTACATGGTCAACTGGTGCCTTTTACTGTTTAGAAATTTTTTAAATTTATATTTTATTTATTTTTCTATGGCAACAAGTTGAACTTTTAGAAATTGTTGAATTCTTCTTTTAAATTCAAAAAAAAATCAACTTGATACCCATTTAACCTGTTAACGGAATCTTATAAGTCATAATAAAGTTTTTTTGTGTTTGAGGTTTCTCCCATAGTAGGGGAAACTGTGCATGCCTTCTACCAAGTTGTCACTATGTGTCTCAATAATGGTTGAGGGTAACTTTCGTTTAATGACTTCATTATCAAATCCATCATCCCTACTTCTGCATTGATTATGACAGAGATGATTGTGCAATAAGATGGCATACTTCTCTTTGAATCTTTTTACAGTTTTTAGCACATGTTGATATGAAGACTTTTGTGCTGTAGAGTTTTAACATTCACATTTATAATATTGTCTTGTTTTATTTTTCGCTTTATCATATCACATGGTATGACCATATTGTTAAAAAGCCACAGCATAAAATGTGTGTGGCACTCGTGGCAGCCTACTTCCTCGCAGTAAGTGCCGGTAACATGACTTGTAATGTTTTTTCTTTCTCCCACCCTAATGAATTCAGTAGTAAATGTAGTAACTGGTTTTGTCAGTTTGTACTTCCATTATGTGTTTTGTGGAAAAGGTTTCATTTTTTTCTTGAACTTCATAGAAATTGTGTTTTGCAGCATTTTATTTTGTTTCTTCAGGATATTTTGCATTTGCATCAAGTAGATGCTCCCCTGCTGCCTTTTACACCTTACAAAATTTTGAATAATTTCAAATGTATGTGTTTGTGTGATCAAATTTTACTTTTGTTGACATAATATACGCTTCATTTGCTGGGTAGGAGACTTGGCCACGTTAGTGGCAAACTCTTCTTTTTTTTTACAATTTCCATGACAACAAGTTCCACCTCGGTTAAAAAAGATTAGGGTTTGTTTAGATTTAATTATGTCATAAATTCTGCAACAGGGGCGGGGATTATAGCCACGTTAGTGACAAACTCTTGTTGGTATTTATAACACATGGTGATCTTAATCTTTGCATATAAAATGATGCCAAGCAGAAGAGAAGTACAATTTAAATGTAAATCATCATGTCTTCTGATGTTTCATCTCAAAATTCACATTTTTATTAACCACTTTTGTTATCACCTGTTCGTTCACCAAAATTTGCTTAAGGGATATAATGTAGTTTTTCACTGAGCATAATGCTCGATATTTTCGTTTAAGAATACACTATGAATCATATATACACAAAGAAAAAAGTGAAGCACACCCCTATTTCTGAACCATGACAAATGGCAAAAAGCATGGCATGAGATGACTGACCACAGGAGCTGGGCAATACCAATGTCATCAGATAGAACAAACATTTGACAACAAATAAAAAAGATATTGGTGAGTTGTGATTGAAATTTACTGACAAAAACATCATGGTACAAGTACTGTTTTTGACCTTAGACAAAACCTAAATAATGTATTGAGCTGCAAGATTAAGTAAACAAGTTACATTTGATTTCATGTGAAAATGTTCCTTAGAGTCTCTACTTGACATGACACATGAAACAGATCAGTAGCAGGTATAACCGCCAAGTGACCGGATGACGCATTCCACCCTACATCTCATGCCTCCAGTCAGACATTGGATCTGTTGAATGGGTCAACATCAACCACTCCTGATGCAATGCTGCTCCCAATCGGCGTAAATCTTGTACAGGAGGATCTCGTGCCTGTATGAGCCACCCCAGAATATCCCAAACTTATTCAAGGGGGTTCAAATCTTGGCTCATTGCTGGCCAGGGCAGAGTCGTTATTGCATTGGCCCTCATGTTATCCACGACTGCATGCGAACAATGAGGCCTGGCATTGCCATCCATGTTCTGAGGTTGAGTAGCAGTAGGGTTGTTGTCAAAATGAGGAACGACGACTGGCCTCAAAACGTCCCCGATATACTAAGCCCCTGTTAAGTTGCCCATTATGGTGACCAAATCCAACCTGCAATCATAAGAGATACACCCCCAAACCATTACCGAGCCCCTGCCGTATGCAGTAGTCGGTTTAATGTTCCTGAGGGTGTAGGCTGTGTTCGATGCCTCTAAATTCTCGTTCTTCCATAAGTGACGTGGAGAAGAAAGCGACTTTCGTCTGACCAATGGATCCGTCTTCACGTTCTTAGATTCCAGTTCTGTTGCGCAATACACCATGCTAAACGAGCAGCTTTGTGGTGATCTCTCAACAAGGGACACTTTATGACTCATCTAGCCCTCAGTCCTGCCGCTTTCAGCCGGTTCCTGACGGTTCTGCTCCTGAAATGACAAGTGGGCAACCACAGCTGTATCAGATGAGTACTTGTTAAAAAGGGTTCTTGTTGTATGAGACGAAGAAAGTTCCTGTCCTTGCGATATGTACATCAGTGTTCTGAGCATGTTTCTCGACTAAATGGCTTATGACAGTGTGATGATACCCCAAATTCCGACCAATGGCATTACATGACATTCCTGTGTTATGCATGCCGATTATTTGTCATCTTGTGGCGTTTGATAATCGCCTTCGTGCCATGGTCACACAATGTCATGGAATAACTGTTTAAAACTGAGCTTAAGAAAGCAATTTTAATGTCTAGATATACTGATTTTAGAGAAACTTGAGGGTAGAATGCTGCACAGTCATACCATGCATGGCACGTGAGCTTTCGTCACGTGTGACTGATTACATCTTCTTGAGAAAACATAATTCTTCCAGTAATTATATCTTTCATGACTGTTACAAATATTGGGACCAAACAATAATGAAATATATGAGGGTGTGCTTAACTTTTTTCTTTGTGTTCTTTCTTTCTAATCCGTTTTCAAACTCTGATATATGCAATGTGCAAGGAGAGGCGCTGAGGTCGTAGGTCCTATGTGTTGGTCATCTAACATCTACAACCCCATCTCAGTTTATGGCTGATTGTCTACAGTGCTCATTAAGTATTTGGACCCCAGTAGTTGTCTTTGTCTTTCCTTCGGCCATTGAGGCAAGGACCAGAGACCTCTTGCACTTCAAAGAGTGACCCTGTGACCCCCTTTTTTTTTTGACTTACATCTGACATCACAGTCTCTGGACGGTGCCCAGAGCCAGCAGGCTCCTGAACAATTAGACCCATGGAACCTGGAAACGCTACCTACGATCATGGGATCTTCTAGATCACAACATCGTTTCCAAAACCAAGTCTTCACAGAGTGCACATGTACCTAGCCAGCTACCGTGAAGGGGTCCTCTCGACCACCATACGTTCCCCGCAGAGATTCTGCAAGTCCCCGACTGTTACAGACTCCACACAGATATTATGAGCTATAAATCTACAGACTACAACCCGGCACAGGCTTCACGGAAACATACGGCATCCGCGACGGTCACAAGTCAGGATGCAGGTCTCAACATCTTAAACCCTTTTGGGTTACTGACACTGCTCATCACCATGCCTCCCTGTCGGGTATTACCTTTGATTCTGAGTTGATAATTTGGAAGACCATTGTACAGAATCAGATTATTCTCCTCAATGGGATTATTAACAGGAACTTGAACTGATGCCATCAAGAGATAGTCGTTACACTAATTCAGGAAGTGACATCAGAACCTGAAGTGACTTATTGCAAGAAGTGATGAAAAAAGTTGTTTCATACAAGTGCAACAACTGCTGCTACCAACCTCAGCTGAGAGTTGTCTGTCGATCAACCCGCTCACCCATGAGATGATTTAGTACTTGCTAAAGAGGACGTCCTATCACAGAACAGAACCTCTCCCGAGAGGCCTCCTGTAGTATTGACCCCAGTAGACTTTGATGCCTTGTCTTTGCCAGCCACTTCACCTACCGAAATGAAAAGTCGAGATTGATCACACCCCTCTGACCAGGATGGACCCCTCCGCTATAGATCCGTCTGACATAAGTGCTTCTATCCTATTGCAACACCTATCATTACGCATCGATACCCAGCATATCTAGATTACATATCTATATCTGATTATGCAGACTGATGACAACCTCTGTCTCGTCCGCGAGGTTCCTCCCTTGTTGATAGCCGTTCGGATCAACATTCCTGCAGGAGATCAATATTGCTTCCACCCAATGCCCTCTCCTGGCCATTTAGAAGAATGACATTGATATCAATCTTTTAATGATTGACATAGATTCTCATCGCTTACAGATCTACATCGGGATTGACATTGACCCTCTTCTTGGGAAGCGACATTGACACCCTCTCCTCGGGATTGACATCAACCCATTCAACTGACCACCTGCCATACTGTATGATCAAGACTGGTTATTCTATTGCATTGACATTTATATAAGAATCAACGTGTTCTTGTTGGAGTATTGCTATAAGTGATGTACGTATAACAATACTCGCTCCCTCACTCCCTCATTCACCTTTGCATTGCCTTGATGAGATTTACTGTGTTGGTTTGGAGATGTTCTGACAGTCTGGATTGGCATCTGTGTCCCTTACCTACTTCCTGGAATCAACAAAGACTGTCATCGGTGTTTGTTCAATCTGTTGCGCAAGAAGATAGACATTGTCAAGGAAATGAACATGAGCTTGATTGGGCGCCACTTTTTTGCTAGTTCTGACACTTTTACTTTTACTGAAATTTGGCAATTTCATCATTTCAGACTTCATATATCACATAGATCAACTTGCTAAGGCAATGGTCATGTCACAAATTCATCCAGGAAGTGGCTGCACGTGCGCTGTTATCTCTTAGGAACTTGGGACACCTTTTGGCTATAGAGTTCACTCTGTTTTGTCACGTGGTGGTGTAGGGAGCTTTTTACCAAGTGTTAGACAAGAACATAGTCTGGTTTGCCTGCTCAAGAGTACTTACAATCATCGCCACGCTACACGCTTTGTGCAGCTGCTAGAAGGAGAGGATACTAGATTAGGCAAGGATACAGTATTCAATGCCCCGACGCAGGGATGTTTTGCTTATGACGTGTCAGGACTTTTCTCTGGGTTGTCAACAAACCAGCTTCTGCTAGATCAGTACAGACAGACCTTTCCAAAGCAAATAGGTGCACTTTACTTTAATACTGTTGTTGATGTGACAGTGAGTAAATCTATATTGATTTTATACATCAAAGTGACTGAATTGCAAATTTTCAGTTGGACCTCAATTACTACATGTTGTAAAAACATTTGGCAGTGCACAGTTTTGAAAAAAACACCTCACTTCCACAGGAACAATCTAGCTTTGTACGTTCAATCGACCGGGGAATTATATGATCAGCCTCGGCCTTCATGATGCAACTCAGATTTTTATAGTATTTTCTACAACTGTTCCTGCAGAAATACGATTGTAAGACCACAATGTGATGTGACATTGTTCCCACCATTGCATGACCTCAACGTCGCTGCCTCGACAAATGATTGAGGAGTGCACTCATTACACTATGTATGGCTGGCCTCAATTTCAGTGTCAACAACTTGAAGTTCAAGCAGAAGTGTTAGTGATGACACATTGGGCATACTCCCAACAGGCATCCTGAGTCTCTTTGTGATAATTCTTCCTGACCTATAAACACTTCATCGACGCCTCAACCGAAGACAGGGGAGCTCCATGATCTACAGATGGTAGGGCGCTGATCTGTAAATGAAAAGAGACTGTACATCAACAAACTAGAATTCAAGGTGGTCATTCTGGCAGTATCCCACTGGGCAGAAATACTTCCAATTCATGATCCAGTCCAATAATCTATCATCTATTATCTTCCGGTTAATTGACTCCCTGAATATTCAGGTCCACGAGGAGAACCTCAACACCTTCGCCTTTCCTCCAACCAGCCTTCTACTTCGAGTTCTTCAAAAGGCGGCTTTAATCAACCAATTTCAACTGCTTTTGGTTGTGCCTTACAGGCCAGTTGAAGTTGGTTCACAGTGCTGGTAAACATTGCAGAAAGAAAGTTCCACCATCTTTCATTGAGGTATGTTCTTATCTTCCAGCCTCATTCCCACCTACTAAATCTGTCTTCTGTAACCCTACATCTTTGCGTCTGGCTCATTTATGGAAGTCACTTGTCGCCAAAGGGTATTCGAAGAGATGAGCCAAAACCATCACTGAGGCTCACTACACCTCCACAAAGGCCTTATATGACAATAAATGGAAGGCATGCAAAGCTTACTGTTGGGCTTGTGACATCACCAAGCCGACCACTGCTTCTCCTTAACAGGTCACCGAGTATCTGCAACATCTGGGATCAATTCAGAAGCTTAAGGGCTTTACTTTGGCAATCTATCTTGCTGCGATCAACACCGTCATTGCCACTACAACCAGATCTAAGATCTCCACAGTCTAGCCTGGTGACCATGTTTACGCTGGGATATGTTCTTGTGAAATGTTTAGAAGCTGGAAACTTTGTTCAAGCATGTTTCCATATAAGGATCGAAACAAGAAGGAAGAAATGCATAGTGTGAGATAGGATAAGTATACACATGCACAAAAGTTAAGCGCCACCATATTCATAGTCTCTTGATTTCACGTGTGGGAATCAGAAATACGAAATATGATGATGTATGACTGAATTAGGCTTCCATAGTTTCATGAACCCAGTTCAAAATCTCGCTGGACTTGAAGCCGCACTTCATGAAGAATGGATCCGTTTGCCTCAGAGAAGCATTCAACGACTTGTAATGAGTATGAGGCGTAGGTCAATGTCCGTGGCTCATACACACGTTATCAACGTTTCTGTCTTGCAAAAGACTCTGCACTCCCTAGGATGTCTATGTGACACCTGATATGGTTTGCTGATATCATGACAGTTACATGACAAAAAAAGTTTTTCAATGTTTTCTAATCCTTCAATTTCTGGTCTTCAGTAAAATTCCTTTCTGCTCATATTCTTTTGGAACACAAGGTAAACTTGCTTTGGGACAACTTTTGCATCACATGAGGTTTACATATATGGCTTATTACAATTGTACATCTCGTTATAATAGTCATCATTAAGTGCCAAAAGTAACAGCTCACAAATATGGTGGGTGGTGCTTAACTTTTGTGCATGTGTATATATAAAAATACAATGTAATGTAAAATTTACACTATGAGTGTAGTTAGATGCATAAGACTTTGTACGTTAAAGTTGTACAGCATTTTCATTTCTTTTCCCAAGCCTGAAGTGATGTCATTGAGCCAGAAGGGCTTACAACTTTGCTTTGTTTTGTTTTGTTTTCAGGAGAGAACATGAACACAGTTATTGGACTTATTTGTTACTGAGGAAGCTAGATGCATGAGACTACATTGAATTAGCATGTGTGTTCCTAAATCTGGTGTTCATTTCATTTAATCATAAGTACATATAACTTTTTATTAGGTTAGCCAGAAACATAAGACTATGTTGTCCTGCATTCGACAACATTTTCCATTATAAAAGAATATTAATGGATACTGGTGAGGTCACTTGTAATTATTCTTGATACAAGTTTCTTGTGGAAAAGCTTTGGGGCGTTCTGGAAATTGTGGATATCTGGCTGCATCTGTTTGCATGTAAAACCCTTTTATTGAAACACCCCATGCAAAGTAACCTGCCTTGTCAAAGTTGACAAGGCAAGAGAAATAAGAAAGGCATATGTTGGGTTCAGGGTCATAGGTGTGGCAGGACTTGTGGGCTGCCCTAAGCTATTATTATAATGAATTATATTTGGCAACTTGAGTTACCAGCAAGCAGCAAGCAGCAAGCAGCAAGCAGCAGCAGCAGCAGCAATGGGCAACTATGTTGCCAGCAGCAAAATACTAAGTTTCTGCTGAAAAGCAGACATGAATTAAGTTAAGCCTAAAGGTTCCCCATCCGCTGAGAAGCAGAGGGACTGAACAGATTCCTGCTGATGAGCAGGGACCTGATAATTTTGATGATTACTTGGTGGTTAAGTAAGTATTTACATTTGTAGCCCACAAGAACCACGCCCACCTATAACATTTATTGAATAAATAAGCAATATACATAGTTTGCCCTGAGCCATATATGTACACAAGATTGATTAGAGAGGATATGAATGTGGCAGGCTAGGGGTAGGTTGGTTGGGAACCAAAAGTTGAGAATTGCTGTACAAAATTGGGTACAGAAAATTTTGACAGAACTAACGGATGATGGTGATCAAGATGGTGATGACGCAAGAGAAAGTTTGATGACATCATAGGAAGTAGAATTATGACCTAAGTGGCGGGAGATTATAAGAGGAAATGACGCAAGGAGATAAACAAAGAGGTGCATTATGGTTTCAATAAACCCATTTAGTGAGAAGCACTAAATGAAATTAAGTTTTGCTTTATATAAAAACTCCCAAATTTATGAAAATATTATGTTCATAACATCTCTTATTTACTGCCTGTGGATTTGGTTGCAAAGTGAGATTGATCCATAGGACTTTTTGTAATAACATTCTACTTTTTACCCCCCGCCCAACAAAGTTGGCAGGGGAAATAGAAATGGGGTCCGGCCGTACGTCCGTCATGTTTCGTTTCCGGAGCATAACTCAGAAACTGTTCAATATTTTTTACGAAAATTTGCAGGTCTGTCAAGTACATGCTGAACTGGCGCCTTTTGCTATTTAGAAATTTTAGAAATTTTTATTTTTTACGTTTCCATGGCAACAAGATGGACTTAAGTTCTGTGAGGGTAGGGTTCGTTTCTGGAGCATAACTCATAAACCGTTCAATATCTTTTCATGAAATTTTGCAGGTTTGTCAGGTACATGCTGAACTGGTGCCTTTTGCTATTAAGAAATTTTAGAAATTTTTATTTTTTACATTTCCATGGCAACAAGATGGACCTAGGTTCCAAACTCTTCTTTTTTTTATAATTTCCATGACAAGTTCCACCTCGGTTAAAAATGGTTAGGGTTTGTTTAGATTTAATTATGTCATAAATTCTGCAACATGGGCGGGGGATATAGCCACGTTAGTGGCAAACTCTTGTTATTCTATTTTTGTAATCATTCTTGCATTCATGTGGCACATATCATGTGCAGTCAATCAATCAAATATTATGCAATTGCAGAGACAGGTCTTAAGAAAATGTTTTTATGAAAATATTAATTCAAGATGTTACATAATCACATTTTCTTATAATGAAACTTAAACTTACAGATAGATTTATTTGTCAATACAGTTTTTATTATTCTTTGCTCTTCCAGGTAATAATGCTAATGAACGCTTGTTTGTCTTGGTAAGGCAGGTATCCATATCCCTGTTCCTCTCAATATTTTAGTTTGCATTCCATGTTATTGCCTTTCCACTTTTGTGTAGAAACAGCTGTTGCTTGCTTGCTTTTGAATGTTTGTGATCTAATTTTAATATTCAAGAAAAATTCAGGTGAGCTACAGTCTCCATATCATGTCATATTATATATCTGCATATTTACAAGGTAACAGTTAATATTTCAGATGCTCAGGAGGCTCAACCAGAGTATTCACTGGATACATCCAGCAGCCTTGAGAGTCTTTCATCATCACCTAGTGGGTCCAGTGCCTCTGTCTTTTCTACCCCGCCACTTTCCCCGTATGGTCGAAGATGTTCACTCTTTAATCCAGCAGAGATGGAGAAAATGAGGTCCTCCAAGGTTCCTTTTGTCAATCAGGTGATATAGAAATAGACATTTGATAAACCATTAACTTACCAAGTAAAGGAAATAATTTTGACTTGTCTTTACAGGGTGTGTTGGTTTAAAGTAGCTGTGAATAGCTGCATTATTGTTTATGTAACTTAATGTACCCGGTACTATTTACACACCCACTCTCAATCTCTTTCAGTTAGTCTAAAAGAACATGCTCAAAACACTACATTTTCCACAGTTTCTATGAAACAAAAAAGTGTTTAAAGCACACATTTCCATGGACTTTCCTTGATCTGTTAAGGTTTTGCTGAATAGTAAGCTTATGGCATGGCACATTGTCTGTTGTCCGTCAAATAATTTTCCACTCCTATGAAGTGGCTAAAGGGGCTGATGTATAGCACCGTTATGGGTTAAAATAAGGGAACTGATTTGATTGCTAAAGATAAATCTAAACATTAATACAATGTGTAGCAACAATTTGGCTTTTGGATCTGTTCATACCAGTAAATAGGAAAGTAGCTTCCTTTAGGGGATGTTCACACAAAAATAAAAGCAATTCTTTCAAATCAGACGATAAGCAATTTAACCTTTTTTAAGTGAATCTGCAATTTTTAGAATAAAGCATACATTTTTATATGGTATTAATTTAATTTTTAAAGTAAAGACAACCTCAATGGTTTATCTCCCTTTGATTATTGTACAATCAGTACCAACAGTGTGCTAAAACAGCACATTAACATGTCCATAGTGTCTGCCAGGAGAATCAAAACAAGGGTTCAAGGACTACCATATGCTGTCAGATTACAGCGTTATTGTCCACATATCATTCAAGTATAACATGTGTAGGTTTCATGTTGTGAAAATGACAGTGGACATCATTCTCAGATTATTTTGAGTTTGGAACAGATAAGGTGATTATAACTTGATTGGTCAAGTGTTTTTGTTTTCAATTGGTTTTCTCAACCACATGCTTATGACAGATGTAGAGACTTCATAACTGATATACCTCCTCTTTTCCCAAAGCCTTAAGTACATTTATAAATATGATCTGCACCTTAACACCTATCAGCTTCAGCTACGGAAACACAGTTTTACTTCTGCTGCTGATTACTAACTTATGTACGCATAAGTTTGACATTTCTGTATGATAATGGAATGGCTGACATGCCTGATAAAGAGGGCCTCCTGGAAGAGACTACAGCCACAGTCAATTTGACACTTCCCTCTACAGCCATGTTGTGAAAGGGTTTGATCAAGATTAGTCAAAGGTCATGGTCACCATTCGTGTTATTATGAGACACATTTTAGAGACAGACCCAGTTGTTCATCTTTATCAAATAATAGGTGAAAAGAAATGGTTTGCATCCCATGTCATTGTCTGCTTAAAATACTTTTGTTTATATTTGTGAAATGCAAGCTTAGAGGAAACTAATTATGTCACAATGGAGTTTTCTTTCTGTCACATGGCCCCATTTTAATAACAACATGTGAAGATATAGGATCTAGATTGACCATATGTTGCCATTTACAAACCACTTATTTAAATAAACATTCATGTTATCTCTCACAAAAAGTCCACATACACATAAAACAGGTTGTGGTCAACCGATTGGTGATTCTGGACTTTAATGTGATGTCTTCAATACACAATATTATTTGTCATAGCGGTCTAATTAACAGAGGGCTGCTTAATGTGTTGGCTCAAATTTGAGCTTTGGCACCAGCACAACTGGTTTGTCAACTACAACAGATGATAGAAACTACTGAACTGATATACCTCCTATTTACCCTTGAAGATATTTACTGACATAAGATTGGATAACAGTGGAGGTCAAGGTCAGGCAGTATGAACTGGTCTTTACTAGAGTTTGTGAACACAAAAACTTGAATATTTATTATGGATTTTGATAATATATCTCTGAGGGGGGATTGCAATCACATCAACATGTAATGTCATGGTCACGAGAGGTAAAAATTGGAAACTCTTATAAACTGTAATAGTTTCTAATGTTTTCAATTTGTAAATTATCAAAGTTTCCAAAAATGTCCTATTTGTAAGCCATAATGGTTTATGAATCCAGGTCTGATGTGGTGAATGGATCAAATGATTATCTGATAATATGTTAATTGACTAATCAATGTTATCATGCACAGTGGATTTGCCAAAAGTATGTAATTCTAACAAAACTACTTCCTCTATAACATTTTTGCCATAAATTCTGTATTTTGGCTTCAGTGACATAAATTTTCAGATTTTCAACAGAAGTCCTCTTCACTGTCAGTCACACAACTAGTTGTTCCCAAATAGCATAGTAACCAATCAAGCTATGATGTATGCAATAGCATAGTCACATTAATCTAAGTTTATTCAAATAGTTTTCTATAAAACAGACACAGTTAGTAGATATTAATAAGGCTGCTAGCTGGAGTGACGATCGCACACACATGAGTATAGCTGGTGTTTGATGTTGCTGTGAGGTCGTAATGGAGTCTCCCTCTACTACCGGCTGCAAGAAGTGTGGTCAATTTATGATCACAGGAGACCCTCATCATAACTACACAAGGTGCAGCGGTACTGTATGTACTGAGGAGGTTAGGTGTTAGCAGTGAGACCACATAGGGGACAGCCATCTGCTTCTGCTACAGCCGTAGGGCCTAACCCAACCGACCGTACTATCCAGACAACTATCCAGCTTGCCAGCTAGCAAGCCAGCTAGTACAACCAACCGATCCGCCGTATGGCCTGTCAACTGACCAGCCGTCCAACCAGCCCTCTGATCAGCTAGGTATTGGCCTGCAGGCTTTTCCCTACCATGATACACGGACAGCTAGTTCTTGGCTTGGGACCCCGCAGGGTACCGCAAGGCCAAACTCCCCAGCCAAGACACTGTACGGTTGCCAAACGGACCAATATGGCACCCTCCGACCAGCTGTCCACACAGCCAACCTTTAAGACACTGTACGGCAGACCATTAAAGACACGGTACGGCTACAGTACGGACTCCACAGCTAATCCACCAACCGTCCAGTTGGTTGGCCTACTGTATGATCTTCATCAGAAGATCTGTTGGCAGAGCCAAATGCAGACGTAACAGACCCTTTCAACCTGGTTATGTCTATGGATTGCAATTTACGCCTACCATCTTTCAACATAATACCATTTGTGGTGTTCCCGCCATGATATTGCTGGAATATTGCTAAAAGCGGCGTAAAACCTCACTCACTCACTCGCTTCAACATAATACCAACTCCGGGACCAGTGGCAGGGGGCCTTTTTTCATACGCCAAAAATTGGAAGCAAGTTACGCCCGACCACTGGATTCTAGAGGTCGTGGCTCACGGATACAAGCTGCACTTCAAGAAACATCCTATCTTGAAGACCCAAGCCATCAGACGCAGATTTCATCTTGTCGGAGCAAAGCTAGTGGCAGCAGATCTGGCTGTCAGGAAGCTACTAAAGAAGTGAGCCATTTGGAGACTAGCGGAGACCAACATCACCAAGGGCTTTTATTCTCCGGTATTCCTAGTCCCGAAGGAGAATACGACCGACATGAGGATGAAAATAAACCTAAAGATCCTCAACAAAAAGTTCCTGGTACCTCTGCCAAAATTCCAGATGGAATCTGTACGGGAGACAGGAGACTGGCTTATCAGCCTCGATCTACAGGATTGCCTATCTTCACGTCACAATACATCCATTGTCACGCAAATATCTACGCTTCGTGATCAATGGTCGACGTTCCATTCTTACCATTCGGGATATTGATAGCCCCTTGGCTATTAACCAGGATTACAGCGCCAGTCATCAGGTTTGCCCATCTCAAGCTAGTTCAAATCCATTTGTACATGGACGATTTCCTGGCTGCAGACCAAGAGGAAGCTCAGTTACGCCAGAACATGATATTCTTGGTGCAACTTATGACATACCTAGGCTTCCTAGTCAATCCTCCAAAGTCTGAGACCAATCGGGTTCAAGACATCATATACATCGGAGCAAGATTCCAACTCAAAAAGGGATATCTATGCCCACCAGAGGATCGATTCATCAAGACTATCACAAGGATTCAATCACTATCAAGTCAACCCCGCAAGTCACTGAGTTGGTGGATGTCTCTTCTAGGCACTTAACATCTCTACAGGATATGACCTTCAGAGGAAGGCTGATGCTACGTCCTCTACAGACATGGATCAATTCACTTCGATCCCAGACCCTAGAATTCAAGACTCAGTTACCTACCAACTTAGTACGAGACCTCCGTTGGTGGACCCACAGAGAACATGTGATGAAGGGCATCCCTCTGACTTATCAGACACCTGAACACCATCCATTCACAGACATGTCAGATTCAGGATGGGGAGCCCATACGGTACAGGGATCTTGGAGCACACGAGAGAAGACCCATCATATCAACTGTAAGGAAATGAACGGCTGGCTCGGTGTTAGAAAGGTAACTTACGCTGCGGGTAAGTAGCATAAAAAGGCAGCCCTGCAGGTTGCGTAAAATAATTTGAAATATATATGAAGATGATTTAGAACCCTGCGGGTAGATCTAAAAAGGTAAAATGAAAATATGTAGAAAGGGTGATACCCTGCGGGTATGATTGAAAATGAAAAAACTTTGGGGGCCACAAGCCATATAATGATAGTTTACAGAATGATTGACTTGATAAGCCAAAAGCGAGGTAAAAACTGAGAGCCCCTAAAGTGATAGGAAAAGTATAAAATAAGTGATATAAGACGTAAATATAATACATATGAGAATTAAAAACTGAATCCAGTGAGTTATATTATCCAGGTAATGTCACAGAACAAGATTGAACAGTGCTAGGGAGCACTGATAAGTGTTAGTTTCACCAATAGGAATAACAGTTCAGTCATGTGGGTTGAGGTATTAGAAGCTGAATAATGTAAGTCACAACACACATGTTGATCAAGCCTCTAATGAAAGAAAGAGTCACTCATAGCATAATGTTCGTTGGGCTTTCCTTAATGTCTCTTCTGGTGTTCTGATGTATCTGGTGAA